TGGGTTCAAACCCAGCCAGGGCCTGCTAAACAACAACAATAACAAAAAAATAGCTGAGAGCTGTGGCGCACACCTGTAGTCCCAGCTACTTGGGAGGCTGAGGCAAGAGAATCGCTTAAGCCCAAGAGTTTGAGGTTGCTGTGAGCTGTTGACATACTACAGAACTCTACCGAGAGCAATATAAAACTCTGTCTCCAAAAACAAGAAAAAAAAAGAAAAAGGAATGTCACATGTCATACAAAGTAAGACTGTTAAGTAGGACTTCTGCCATAGATCACTAGGTTTTGGACTACAAATGATATACCATTATTTTGAAATTTGCAAAACAACAGAGTTCTAGTATTTTTCCTACTATCTTAGTGGCTAAATCTTAACATGTATAACATTCTAAGAAACACAGAAGAGAAACAATTTTAAATTAACATGAAACATATGAAAGACATTAAGAACCATTAAATTTTGTGTGTGTGATACCCTAAGGATGATCTGGATCTCAAAATTTTACTTAACTGTTCTTATTTGCGGTGTATGTAGACTTCACCATTTAAAAAACATTTTCCAAGAACCAGTCCACAAGATTAAGTCCTACTTACAGCTTAGTTTTCAATGTTTTTTGAAATTTATTATTAGTGGAATCAAAGAATATATATATAATACATATCCATACCATTCTTTCACTTTGGCTAAAATTTAGTATCCTGTAAAGACAATTCCCCAGTTTCCTCATATCTCCCTTACTTGCTATAAACATTAAAATAATAATGTCTAAATCCTTATAAGGCTCTTCTTATGTGCTAGGTACCGCTCTATGTGTACAAACCCATTTAATCACCAAACAACACTATGAGACAAGCCTTACTGTTACTTTCATTTAATAGAGGGGAAAAGAGGCACAAAGAGTTGAATTAACTTGCCCAAGATCACAGTAGTAGTAAGTGACTGAACTGGATTCAAATCATGTAGCCTAGAATCCAAGTCTGGGCTCATACTGACTGTCTCAGGACAAAGCTGTCAATAAAGGAAACATTTAAAAAGAGTATAGAATATGGTATGTTGCTATTACTAGCACAAAGACTAAAATGAAAAATGTTTGATGTGAGATCACTGAAGTGATGGAGCTTTTAGAGTCTCTCCATAGGCAAATGAGGGTGTCTAAGGAAGACCTGTGTATAGACTAAGTATCCCAATATAGGGTGTCAATGCCTTGAAAGGGCCTACATTGCCCAAAAGACAAGAGACTATCAAGACAAATATTAAGTTCTGTCTTAGCTCTGCGTATTTATAAGACTTGAGTAACTTAAGCCACTAATGATTCATTTTTAAATTAAGGCCTCTAGAGACTCCAGTATCTCAAACAATTTACCAGTGGTAGTAATGTTGGGCTATTCCCTTCCAAGTCAGTGTTAGAAATTAACAAAAACAGAGTAGAAGAAACAGCAGAAATCACCTAATCCAGTCTTGTCATTTTATTGCTAAGTACACAGCAACCCAGAAAAGTACTTATCCAAAGTGAGAGCTTGTGTTGGAGCCAGGGTAAAAACCCAAGGCCTCCTCACTTCTTCGTATTTTGTAGATGTGTATCATCAATCCAATTACAAAAAGCTTGCCAAATAAATCCATGATAGCCAGAAGTCTCTCTATCATCCTATTTTTCACCAGTTCTCTAGCACTTTCAAAACCTAAAACAACTGTTAACATTTATATTTCTTCATTCAACAAATATTCAACACCTACTATGTGCCAGGCATTGTTCTTGACAGAGAAGCTTATACAGGAGTTCTGCACTAAGCTTACCGTATTAACAGAAGATATTTGGGGTACTAAATATGCTATCTACATAACAAAGGAAGATTTAAATAATAAGTATTTCCAAAATAGGTAACTAAAAGTGTTAACACAAATGACTCAAAGGATGAGCGGGATTCTGGTAAAAGAACTGTGAGAGGATTGAAAGGCATTCCAAGGGGGGAACAGTTAAACAAAGACCCCTACGTAAAAAAATATAGAACATATCCATTATAGCTAATAAACTTAGGGAAATACTGACCATATTGGAGAAAGGCTGTGGATATAGTGTGATCCACTGAAGATTTCTCAGGAAAATGACAAAATTAGGATTCCATTTAAGACTAATTTAGAACCAAACTACAGGATAAAGAAGCAGGGAATAATTTAGGACAGTGGTTCACAACCTGTGGGTCGCGACCCCTTTGAGGGTGGACGAAAGGGTCGCCTAAATACATCCTGCATATCAGATATTTACATTACAATTCATAACAGTAGCAAAATTACAGTTATGAAGTAGCAATGAAAATAATTTTATGGTTGGCGGTCACCACAACATGAGGAACTATATTAAAGGGTTGCAGCATTAGGAAGGTTGAGAATCACTGATTTAGGACATTATTGGAACCAGATGGCAAACAGTGCAAATCTGCACAAAGGTGAAAGTAGGTATGGAGAAGATTAAGGTACTACTAAAGTAAAAATGGTATACCTCGGCAGCTGACTACACGGAGAGGTATGGTTAACAGAAAACAGGCAAACTCAAGGCTGAGTTAGAAGTACTCTGTTTAAAGATTATACAGGATGGCCATAAAGTTCACGTGCAATTTAAAATAGTTTAACATTAGTAAACCGCTCACAGACTTTATGGACATCCTGTGTATAGTTTAAATTTAGGGAGAAAACTGTATCAAAAATCTTATTTTACTTCAGAAAAGCAAATCTTCCCTTAGCAAAATAAATACACTATAATATTGAAACTACAATATGCAAAAATGCCCAAATCAAAGCAGTATAATTTGAAAACTGGATGCTTTTACACTTAATACATTTGTACAAACATAGGTACTAGAACATGTCATGCTTTTACTAAAATATACATGTTTTTACTAAAATGTGCATACTAAGCCTTAACATTTTAAGATGTTGGGAATGTGCTGTGCAAGTAGTATTTAACAACCACAAAAGAAAATTATTAATGAATCAGTATGAAAATGCAGCTGCTAAGTATTAGAAGATAACTATAATTTATAACATTATCAATAGGTCCTTGAAAATTGTGACTGTTAAGTCGTTTTGTTCAACACCATTTCATTGCAACATTGATAAGGAAAAATTGGTTATGTATCAGTTTCACTTAAAGTCAAAGTTTTCATCAAGAATCTACTGACGTTAGTTGACGACATACTGTATATCACAAGTTATCATTCGGTTCAGTTGGCTAAGTGATGGTCAGTATGGAACATCAACTTCTGTTTAAATAAAATCTACATGGTCTTTCTGCCTAACATTTAACAAGAAACTACAAGCTCCTCGTGGACAGGGGTTATGTTTTAGACCCTACGTACCCTCAGTGATCAGTCTTTAGGAGATCTTTGGTAAAGGGGATAAATGGAATTCAAACAAAGAATGTTTTCCAAATATACAGCACTTTCATAACTTGGTAAGCATTACACAACAGCACAGAACTAAAGATCCAATATTTAAGTGCCTACTATTCAACAGGTAATGCAGTTACAAAATGAGTAATACGTGACTCCTCCCTTTAAGTTAGGATTTATTTATCCAAACAAGTCAAACACTTATTAAGGCTTCACCTTAAAACTTTGGTTTACACTATCATATGACCATCATGGAGCTTCTTCTGATTTCTCATCAGATGAGGATTCAACAGAAAAGAACAAATGAGAGCTCTGTAAAATATGACCAGTATTACTTAGGCCAGTTGGTTTCCCATAGGATTCACCACATTCTGACTGGACAATTCATACAGAATGACATTGACTTAGGCAAATAAACACATCTGACTGGCCCAACACAAAGTCATCATCCTACCATCACCCGAAAAAACTTCTCAAAACAAACTACTCTATGGACGGGTCAGAAATGTGATTTTAATATGAGAACAATACAATCTAGAGAAAGATTTATAAATTTTCACTAGGAAAATTTTTTTTAAATCAAAAGCACACATTTAAATTTATCTAAGTTTGTTTGGAAAATTCCTACTGCAATTCAAGACAGAATACTATTAAAATTCAAACTTAACATTTCTGAACAATGAAATTATGCAACTACTTTCTGGGAAATGTCTCCCCCACCTAAGACCATCAAACAAATGCAAAAACTTCAAGTTTCAAAATTTTATACGAACATTTCTTCTTTTGTTGAGATAGGGTTTCACTCTGTCACCCAGACTGGATTGCAGTGGCACAACATCTCACTGCAACCTCAAACTCCTGGGCTCAAGCATAGCTCCCACTTTGCCCTCCCAAAGTGCTGGGATCATAAGAATGAGCCACCATGCTCTGCCTAGATCAACTTTTGAAATATGTTAACAAATTCTAGGGTAAAATTAGAGTGAACACTTCAACTGATCAAACAGGTCCTAACTGCACAAGAATATGAGCTCTCCAAAAGACAACCTAAGCTATAGAAATTTATAGTATTGATATTTTTTTATCCACCTAAATCAACCTCTGAAATACAAATGAATAATTTGAGCCAGCATTTCTTCGCAGAATATGGCAATCCACACAACTCTCCCAAGACAGGCAAATTCAAAAGCTAAAACCTTCATAGAAAATTAAAAGATGCTGTCAAAAAAAAGCTTCTGAGATAAATGTTGAGAGCAGCTATTTCAATTTTATTATATAAAAACACTGAACAAACATGAAAAATACAGCACCATTTATTTATATGTAGAATCTATATAACAAGGAAACCTTTATCATATGGACCTCAGAGATTTCTTGCTATGGTTTTGTATGTACCATCATCGCCTTTCATTTAAATTCAGGAGAAAAAATAATAAAAGAAGGCATAAAAAGATTTAAGACTTTCTTAAGAAGGTAACTGGTAAAACTGTTCTTCCATTTCTTGAACAATAAATACAAAATGTTCTTGAACTAAGAAAAGACTCAATTTCAAGTAATTCCTTCAGTAATCAAGATTTTGAAAAGATCCAAATTTTGCATTATTAAACACTTTCTTACCTTCTGCTACATCATCATCTACTGCTCCTTTCACCTGAGAAAAACACCACTGAATATCATTCCCTCCTCCAGCTCCTGGAAAAAGAAAACACACCAATTAAAACTGAGTTCTGTTCATGTTTACTCTCATAAACACAGAGATGGTATCCATGGTTGGCAAGATACTAACAGCCTAGTACTACCACCACCAAGAGGACCAGTCTGGAGAAAGACCCCAAAACTGGGTACTGCATCAAAGAGAAGGGAAAAAAACAAAGATTCCAGGTGTGAAATGTTTAAAAACATATATTGTACCATTTTCATTGTGTATCCGGTTCAAAACTTCCCTTCCATTTTCCCTTCCCCTCAAATATACAGCAGAAGCCTTACAGTTAAGCAAGACCTACCAGAAAAAAAATACCAACAGTTAAGAGTTTCCCTTAAGTGTATGAAAAACCATGCAGAAGAATTAACAAGGTTATACCATGAAACATAGAACGAAGAGAAAACTTCGGGAACATTACTGCCGGAGTGAGGTGTAATGATTCACATGAACTCTACCATCAAAGCGCACACACAGCAAACACAACACCCATTTCTTTGCATTCATTACCAACAAATCCCTGGCTCCAGACAGAGAGGAAAAGAAACCCAAATGAATACTACTGAAGAGACTGTCAAAGGAAGCTTGTTCTGCCTCCCTTCACCTCATCCCTCAGAATCCAAAGGACCTGCCAAACAATTCATTTTGCTAAATTTGTCATCAGCTTGTGCAAAACAATTTTAATCTCACTTCACTATTCAACAAGGCCAAAGAGCAAACCATAAGTCAACCTAATGTGTTAACTTTTTAAAAAGACTTATCTAAATAATCGGGGTTGGAAAAAGCTCAGAAAATTGGTTGAATCTCAGAATGTTCCTATTTCACTCCCGAAGTACTGAGAAGTAAATGGGGAAATGTCCTGGATCCACGGAGGAAGGAACTAAATCTAAATCTAGCACTGAGTCTACTAAATGAAAAAGATGTTCGGCAACACCAAACTGTACAGAAAAAAATCCTCCAAGCCATTATATTGCCTTTCTTCTCTTCCTTCACACTCCTTCCTCGCTGAATGTATTTCAACGAGGTTTTCTCTCCCACACCCCTCCGACCCCCCCCCCCCCGCAAGCTTCTACCTAAATCTCTTTCCCCTTGGCTATTTATATCAACTGAACTCCACAACTATTTTAACTAACTCTACCGAAACCCTTTTGGGGAAAGGACATCTGCACAAAAGCTAACATGCAAAACGCAAAGTTTAAATTATGTTTTTCATGCAACTTGCTGTGTATCAAAGGCCTCGCACTCTTTGGTCGTAAAGGGTAAGAAAAAGGGAGATGGCTCGAAACAAAATACTGAATGGTCTCAAAAATGTATGTATCCACAGCGTGGGGGAGGTAATACACATATGCCCCCATTGTATCTTAACTTGTAAAATGCTCTTCGCTCTTAGTGCAAAATATATTTGTATATACACCCAAGAAGGCTTGCAGCAGGAGGAAAAAAATAGGAATTAGACGAAGGAAGATACGTAAAGAGAGACGAAGGGCGGGGTGGGGAGGTGGGAGAGGCCAGGCCGGGCTCCCCCGCAGCGGGGACAAATCTGCGCTAGCCCCCAGCCCGCCCCACCCACGCCTTACCCCACGGCGCGCCGGCACACACCCCGCCCCCACCCATGCCGAGGTTCCAGCCCTCGTTTTCCCAAAGCCATTTCCACCTCACAGCGACCACTCGCCTGCCCGGAGCCCTCCCCGCCCCCACCCCACCCCACCCGACCAATTCCCTGAAATCCCAGGGGCGCCCCGTGGCTCCACCAGAGGCACAGGCGGTCGCCAGGGGGTGATGGAGGGAGGAGGAAGGAAGCGGTGCCTTGTCAGGGGGTGAGAGGGATTTCTCCTTTACCTGCCATGTTGCGCTGCAAATGGTGACCCTGCTGGGTTCCTCGGGGTCTCCGCTTCCTGAACTCACCCCCCTCACCTGGGGATGGGGGGGTAGGAAGGGCGGATGGCGGCGGATGGCACCTGTGGGGGGAGGGGGCGGGGGCCGGGTGAGAAGGAAGGAGGGGCGGGCAGACCGGCCAGCAGGATGGTGGATTTCACTCGGGGGCTTCCCCGCTCGTGTTCTTTCTCCAGCGGCGGCGGCGGCTACGACAGCTACGGCGCCGACGGCGGCAGGGGCAGGCGACTCCACTTTCAAAATGGCGCCGGCTGGCCTGGCCAGTGACGTCACTCGAGGGGCGGAGCCGCCAGGCTGGGGCGGAGAGCGGAGGGTGAGGGGCGGGAGCGGCAGGGCGGGCTCCAGGCCACGCCCCCTTCCTGCCGCGCTCCGGCTCCGCCCCCCGCGGCCCGTCAGGCCTGCGCGGCGCCCGGGCCTCCTCATTCTGCCCACCCTCGCCGCGGCCGGTCCTCACGTTTTGGCGTCTCTAGCCTGGCCTCTGAGACGGGTTCGGCTGTCCCCTCACCGTGTTCGTCTGCAGGAGATTGCGGGTGACCTCGTCTTTCTAGAGAATGCCCACATTGCTACTTAGGAAAGTGAGGCTGTGGGTTAGCACAGTGACCACTGGAATAAAGGGACAGTGGTGCAAACTCGCTGCCTCAGCCAAGGTGAAGGTTCTCAGGGCTCAGAAGGACATAGTTGGGCTGGTTCCATCTAGGTGAGTTAAATTACCTTTGTGTGGGCCCATGAAGCCGAGGCTAGAGTCTTTCTTGGTGACTGCAAAGACTAACAGTGGCTGCTGACAGAAAAACTGAGTTTGTCGTCAGCAGGACGTGCCCCAAAGAAGTGGCCCAGGTCTGTCCAGCTGACAGTGGTAGATTCCCCCGGGCCCAGAGCCCGGCTGCCTTTTGCCGACTCTGCGACGTATGTAATGAGGGTACAGGAAATTGTTTTAGAGATGAAATGACTTAATTTGAGTACACAGTGAATGTTAGCTGCCATTATTATTAGATTCGCATGAAAACATCTTCGCTGGAGTCCAGAGGTAGAAGGGAGAAAATGAACAGGAAACGTTGGTCACCAGTCAACAGGAGTTGTGCACCGGTTGAAAGATGTTCTGATGACGCAATTACTATACATACACTTTACATATCTCAGTATCCACAATACACCTATGAGGTAGGTAGCCACGTTTTTCACATGAAAAAACCTGCAGTAACATTCAGAATTTGACCCTACGGCTGAATGGAGAGAGAAAACACTTGGAGACCAAGTGGGGGGGAATTTAAGATATTTACACATCCTCCTTATCATTTCCACTTCTCTATCTTATTTTTGACTTCCAGAACACTTCAACTGTGACACAATTTTGAAATTCCTCCACAAGGAATAGTGACACCATTGCATCATTGGGCCTCCAGTTCTACATGAAGTTTTCTGACTTTACCAATGAATCAACCTAAACTAAAAATCTATTTCTGTATCTGTCGTCTTTCAGCTGTTTGTACAAATTTTATTTTTTTGCAGTTTTTTGGCAGGGGCTGGTTTTGAACCCGCCACTCTCGGCTCCCTACTCCTTGAGCTACAGGCGCCGCCCAGTTTGTACAAATTTTTGGTGCACTGTGTATTGCATTTTCTTTGACCTTGCTGAATTTCATAAATACATTTCTCTAAATATGGCCTTACCATCCATTTTCCTTTTCACTTGCTCTGTCCTTGTTTAATAGTTCAATCCCAGACTCTAGTGAAGGCTTTCCAGCTTAACCAGAAATAGATAAACAATGAGTTCACGGAGCCTTGAACTGGGGGACTGGAACCCCTATGGGCAAATTATTTTTCTTTTTTGCACTTTAGTTGTTGCCACACCTAAGATTTCTATCTTCAGAAAATGACTTGGTCTACATAAATGCTTTGTTCATAGAAACCAATAAAGCTTGCTTAGAATCTGGGATATTAATAGCAAAAATTCACATAGCACTGACTGGCAGCTGTTTAAGAACATTGTATAGAGTAGTGTTTTTAAACCTTTATTATCTCACCGTATACTTGAACTTCTGTGGCACACTTAAATTATGTTGGTCAAAAAAAGAAAGAATAGGGTGGCGCCTGTGGCTCAGTGAATAGGGCACTGGCCCCATATACCAAGGGTGGTGGGTTTGAACCCAGCCCCAGCCAAAACTGCAACAAAAATACAGCTGGGTGTTGTGATGGGTGCCTGTAGTCCCAGTTACTCGGGAGGCTGAGGCAAGAGAATCACCTAAGCTCAAGAGCTGGAGGTTGCTGTGAGCTGTGACGCCATGGCACTCTACCAAGGGCAACAAACTAAGACTCTGTCTCTAAAAAAAAGAAAGAAAGAATAGGAAAAAGAACATACTTCTTTGAACTGCTTTCAAAAATAATTTAATTCATGATCTTTAAAATTTTTGATGGCATGCCTAAAATATGGCACACCAGTTGGAAATCGCTAGTATAGAACCTCACAGGTACTAGATGCCTATGGAATGTGCTGAGATGGGTCTAATACATGTAATCAAGGGTCAGTGCACCCCAGAACCCTGGTATAAATGACGGCACTCTTTGGCCCTGAGCAACCCCTAAAGAGGACCATAAGCTGCCTCCCTCTCTTCTGAATGGCCCTTAGGAAGAAAGGCCAAAATATGCAGAATCCCCATTGGCCCAAAGTCAAAGGTTGCTCTCCTTCCACCTTCTATCCTCCCCCAGCACTTCACTGAAATGGCCTGTGTCAAGGTCATTAATGATCTCTACATAACCAAGTCCAATAGTCTCTTCTCTGTTTTTTTCTTCCTCGACTTCCCAACATCATTTGTAACCATTGATCATGCCTGCCTTCTTGAGACTCTTTTGTTTTTCCTTGACACTTTATTGGTTCTCCCCACTATACATTTTCCAGCCACCCCAGTTTCTTTTATTGGCTCCTCCCAGATCACCCTCTAAATCATACAGTAATCTGTCTCTCTGGCCTCTGTCTTGTGGTCCCTTCTCTAACTACACATTCTTTTTTTTTTTTAGAGACAGAGTTTCACTTTGTTGCCCTCTGTAGAGTGCTGTGTCATCACAGCTCACAGCAACCCCCAGCTCCTGGGCTTAGGTGATTCTCTTGTCTCAGCCTCCTGAGTAGCTGGGACAACAGGCACCCCCCACAACACCTAGCTGTTTTTTTGTTGCAGTTTGGCCAGAGCCGGGTTTGAACCCACCACCCTTGGTATATGGGGCCGGTGCCCTACTCACTGAGCCACAGGCGCTGCCCCTAACTACACGTTCTACTGGACAACCTCATTTACTGTAGTCTTACACACAAAAATATCATGTAATACCAGGTATATATCAAGGACTGCCAAATTTAGGCCTCCAACTCTGTCCTCACCTAAGAACTATAGGCACACACCTCTACCTGCCTACTTGACATTTCTTAGGGTGTCCAATTAATGTTTCAAACAAAGTGGCAGGCAGAATACAAATCTTGATTCCATACCATGACTGATTCTGTCCCTTTCCCTACAGCACCACCATCACTCACCCCACCCCACCCGTGACCCAACACTCTCACACACCCATCTTGCTTCCTTTTTCAGCCAGCAAATCTCCTGGTTCTTTAAAAACCAACTGAGATGTAACTTCCTCCAGGATGGCTTCTCTGCCATTGTTCCCCAATTTCCTACCCATCTGAAGCTGGGCTGGGTTCCCTTAATAAATACTCTAATAAAATCAAACGCACTTCTCTCCTTCTGGACCATGTGAAATTATTTAAATATGCATCTTGTCACACTGAGTTTTCCAAGGGTAGGCAATATACCATTCATCCCCGTATCACCAGCCACATAAGTTGTTGGATTAATAGATGAATAAGTCCCTCTGGCTTGGGAAAAAACCCACTGAAATGTTGGCTCCTCATAGCTTGCCATATCGTATATTTTTTCATTCATTCTTCTTAACTCTGGGAGAAAAAGGTGTTTAGACAAATGATCTTGGTCATTCTGATCTATATTTGTTAGGCAACAGTTGGTTAAATATTTAAGTTCCTTATAGACAGATTCATCCCAACTTCTTCCAACTGGTCCATTGTCTCTTGAATATCTATTATTCAAGAAGATCCCCCAGGTCCCCAGTCCTTCACACACATGCTACCATGCAAGGTTTATTTCATGTGGCTGTCAAAACTTCCACATCATGTAAAGGAAAGAAAGTAATAGTTTCCTGCAGAACTGAGCTCAGCTTGGACACAGCAAGAGAAAAACTCCCTCTGCATGTTCTTGGTGAGATCCTGGAAAGCTGATTTATTGCAGAAAGGTTCTGCTTTGGACTGAGCTCAGAGGCACTCACAATCTCACCAGCAGAATGGAACCTACCAGATTCACCAATGGATCACTGCAAGATGGCTTTTAAAAACATGTACTAAACAACCCAAGGAGAAACACCTCAAAGTTATTTTTTTCCCTGATGAAGCATGTCAGGAGTTGGGATAAACACAAACTCTCCTCCAGGATAAATGAGAAGTGGAACCATTTAGCTGACTCTGTCTTCTAGAATATCCAGGGAAGATGACAGGTGCCTGGTTAAAACTTGTTGTGGTTTAGAATGTCACCAAACCCACCCCAGCGATGCTTTCTGACCTGAAGTCGTTCCAAAAGTCTTTGAAAAAAACGTTATAAGCAGTTGTCAGCTCTTTACATACTCTTTAATAACTACAAAGTTGACAAGGAAGACAAATCTCTACAGAGACTAGACTGTAACAATTCACACCATATTATTTAAGGTACAGAATTCACTACAAAATAATCAAAAATACCCTACACTAGAAGGTGTTTAACAAAAACGATAGTGAATTGACGAGGTGGATTATTATGTAGTCAAACATTTCTTAAAAACAGAGGAAATCGGCTCAGCACCTATAGATCAGTGGTTAGGGCCCCGGCCACACATACCGGGGCTGGCAGGTTGGAACCCAGCCTGGGCCTGCTAAACAACAATGACAACTACAACAACAACAAAAATAACCGGGCATTGTGGCAAACCCCAGCTACTTGGGAGGCTGAGGCAAGAGAATCGCGTAAGCCCATAAGACTGTCTCCAAAAAAAAAAAAGGGGGGAAATTGTTTATGCCTTAGAAGCAGGATACAAAATGTACAATATGATCACAAGTATGTACAATAAACCAACACAAAATATGTAGAACCGGAAAGACAGGAGGGAAATGTAAGAAGGTGTTTGCAGCATAGTCTCTGAACAGTGACACATGGATAATTTTTCACCTCAAATTTGAGATTTTCT